ATCTAAGGACCATAAGTCATGTTTAACATCATTACGTTTGGGTCCAACGCGGGACGTAGGTCTTCAATGACGGTCCGCAAAGAATGTGACAGAAGTGGATGTCGGTTCCGTGAGAGTTGAGGCGTCGCACCAGGGCCCTGTAGATGTCGGATACGGAGCCACGGTGTTATGGCGAGTGCTTCAGAGTGGTTCAGGTAGGCCTTAGCCCAATATCGAGTAGCATCAAGGCTTCATGGATTGCCATTGACGTCCGCAAATCAAACTCGAGATGGGAGATCAAAGCGTTTTCCGGACCTTGTCTCGTTTGACGTCGGATTTTTGGCAGGATTTGAAGGCTCGCGACACGTTCTTGTGAAGGACGAGTCGAGGGAATCGACCAGACCGGGGAAGGCCTTCTTCCATGGTCGAATGCATTGATCGCCATAGACTGCCGCGAGGGTTTATGCTGGCAATTCAACCAGGCCAAGTCGACTTAACTTGGCTGACAAAAGGCACGCTATTTTGAATATTGCTGACAAGCTACAAGGAGCTGAGGGGTGCTTCAAAAAGGGATAGGCGTTCTAGGTCCATGAGGCCACACCCCCTCCTCAATGCTGAATGGTTCCTCCAGACCGTTAAGAGGGGTGGGACATCGGGGTTGCCCCCTCCCCGGCAACAGTGCAGCGCAAGGATGGGATCAGGTCGCTCGCAGAATATCCTCACAGTATCAGTCTATCGCTTGACAACTTTGACGGATGGGGGATAGAGGCGGGAACGGGTTGGTGTGTCCGTACAGCGTCGTGAGTTGGAGATTGGGAATGAAGAAGGGCGACAGAGCCGTGGGGGAGTTTTGTGGACAGTGCCGAGTTATGCGCACATGGCTTCGATGCAAGAGGGGGTGGTAGTGGTGGTGAGGAGTCGATACTCGGCAGAGCTGGGGCCTTGTTCGAAACGGGACTTAACCGGAGGCTCATGTGGCACGAAAAGGCGATCTGCTGTTGCATTATTCGCGCAGGTGGTTGGACTCGTGTTATTCGATGAAGACTCTGTAGCGAATCGAGGTTATGACGAACTATCGGTCAGAACGGTATCCGTAGCAGAAGTGTCAGATGATGAAGTCGTTGAGTGGATGCGTTTCCAGCAGGTCAATGTAGAGGTCAAGGTAGCTAGCTAGCTAGCTGGGGAGACATGGAGGCAGCTGCCCGAAGCACGCCGAATAGAATTGTACCAAGCCGAGCAGCTAAGGCAGCGGGAAGGTAAGAAAAGTTGGAGCTCCGATCCATTCAGGGTCTGTAAGTCGGGAGTGAGCCTCCTACTGGTTCTTCTAGCAGCACCCTGGCGATGACATTTGACCACAGAATGCTTGTAAGTTGTTTAAACGCTTGGAAGGGGGCAGCGGTAGCCAGAGCAAGCAGGACATGGAGCTTCATGAATCGCAACGATGGGAGAAGATTGGGCATCGATGGTCCTATGGGGATAAGAGGAGCGGAGGATAACCCCTCATGAACCGGGGGTGCCTATCGCAGAGACGGCCGGGAGCTTTTGCCTTTTTTTTTGTGGTTTTTTGCGTGTGTATGTGTGTGTGAGTGTGTGTGTCCTTCTCTCTTTCCTTCTTCGCTCTCCTCTTCTACCTCCTCGTCCTCCTGGGGGTTTTTGATGCTGCCCTGTTCGAACCTCGTTCGTTCGGGGAGAAGGTACAGACCGTGGCGGTACAAAGTGGGTCCGATGTCCAGAAGTGGGTCCGTTTTCGAGGTCAAGAGCTATGAGAGGTCCACCAGTCCCGCCACAGTGTGTGTCGCTCGACTGGAGAGTAGAGACTCGAGTGCTCACAGTGCACCTCTTTCCCCTCCCTGCCCAGACACCCCTGCCCCATGCGTCCCTAGAGCTCTTAGTGGAGCAAGGGAAGGGCGGGTGAACCACTGAACGCTCGGCCGCCGGCCCACTGCCCAAGATGGGACGACGTTGTTTCCTTCCTTTCCCTTTGGCGTTCCGTATCCGTCCATGTCCTTTCCTGCCATGTTGCCCGTTCATCTGGATGTGACCGCCTTGCTGCTTCCCTTAGTACCTTGGAGTACACGACATTTGTAGGAGAGACAAGAAGAGGAACAGGTATCGATACATCGGCATCACTCTTCCAGGCCGCCCGGTCAACCGTGAGGAAAGTCGTCCCTGGACACCTTATGGATACTGGAGTTGCCATACAAACAGGCGAAGCAAAGGCGCGGCCATACCCGTCACACGTCGTCATTTTCGCCGGCTCCACGTCTCGCGCTCGTCTCGTCCTACGAATAATCATCTCTCACATTGGCAGTATTCCGTCCACTGGCCTCGCCCACGCCTTGTACCTTACCGGCGATATCCCCACACGCAGGTCAACCGCACAATTCGTCGACGTCTCTTCTGCTCAATCAAACCCCTTGTTAGAGCCATTTCAAGTGCGGATGATGGACGAGGAATCTCCTGTCGCCCCACGTACTGTCGCTCGCAAGGCCACGCCTTTCTGGCTTAGCTACCGACCTTAGCTGCTCGGATCTCATCTGTCCTTACATAGCTACTGCGTCAGCCCGTCCAGGGTGCGAGTGCTCCGTCCAGCCTTGGAGTTTACTTCTCCGTCTCACAATACCTCCGACCACTGCTCCAGTGAGCATGTTACCTGGTACGTGTGTGCCCGCGTGTCGTGTGGGTGGTAATCTCAGCGCGAAGCAGGTCCTGATGTCAGCTCATTGGCGCGCAATTCTTCCGGTTCTCAAGCCCGACTCGGCCTTTCCCTGATTATTGAGCACCCAAGCAACCGTTTTCTGTAACATTTCGCTTTTGGCCTTTCTTTTTCCTCGTCCATCAATTCCACCCTCGTCGGCCATCATCACGTTCCCTGGGTGATACAGAATCGGGTTTTCCTACAGAATCTCGCCATCCGCGCCGCTGGGCCACCCATCTATTGTCATCTCGCAGGAAGCTGTCAGACTCAGCTCCAGCACCCTTGATCCAAAAGCAGAACCAGACATGGACGCCGAGGCATTGGTCCCTACGACTGGCTAGTGGCCGTTCGCCTACCAGCTTCGAGCGAGCGAGACATGAGAGAAAGCGAGGCGCGGCCAGGCCTAGACGACGCGCTACAGGACGAGACGAGACGATACGAGACGGAAGCAAATCAACATCCCAACTAGTGTCTGTGTGTGGCTTGCCCCATTCCCGTCAAGACCGTCTTCCAGATGGCCCGTCGTTTCTATCCATGCGGCAACGGAGACAAACTGAGCCAGTGGCTTCTTCTAGCTCCTCCCCATATCCCTAGCCGTGGCGGTTGTCAAGGTCTAGGCATCAATCGTAGCTAGACTATGATGTCTTTATTGATGAAAACACTCACACCATCGCACGAGATACGCAACCTCATTACCATCAATATTCATCGCTCAGGAATCTCATGCCTCCGTTTCATGGTACTTGCGTTTTACTTTGTCATTTACTTTCCACTTACGCCGGTTGCGAGGGCCTTTTCAATGCACTCACTTGATCCTTCCGCTCTTACCTCTACCCTGCCAATATCATAATGCTTTACGCATAAAACTACCGCACCTAAGTCCTGTTGTCGCACCTTGCCAGGTTGCTACGTATCAAGCCTGTCGGAACCGCCTTCGTTGTCGAGCACTTTCTTCCGACAGGTAACTCTGCTATGGAGATATATTTCCAGTCCTCGTCTTCTTGTCTCACCAACCAAAAGTCAGAACACAGTTCACGCACTTCTTCCTTCTCATCTTTCCTAACGGATTGCTTGCGCGCCGGTGTTAGTACTGATCAAACCCCCCATGTCATTCTTTGCCTGGTCTGCTACCACACACCCACAGACAACCCCAAGTCACGACCCCCAGTCCGACTTAGATTCAACCATACCCACCACACGCCCCTAGCAGCAGATGGGACACCCCCCCCCCATATCCTTGCCGGTACTTAGCATCCGCCGCCTTTGCCTGCATAGCTTTTACATATGTACAATACGGCCCACCACCGCCCACACAACCTTCATCCTTCCGTGCGCTTGGTAGTATTACTACCTGAGAAGCCCGCCTACCCCAACCCCGACCTGCCAGTTCTGCTCTTCAAGCCTTGCCTTGTGCGCCGCGGCGTCTGATCCTCGTAGCATACCGCTGTCTACTCTTCTCGTCTTACTGGTCCGATTCGATTCTTCGGTCCCCGTCAGGCTCGCCCTCCTTCACTGGCCACTGGGACAGACACACAAGCCTTTCTTTCCGGCATCAGCGCTCTCACCAAGCAAATATCATCTCTCTTTTCTCACACCACTCTCCATGCCTCCCTTTACAGGTTGATCCAACGTCGAGGAACTGCTGAACCGTAACGAGTTGCCAAAGTAACTCAGCCGCCTATTGTCTCGGTGCCAAATAGCGTCACAAGGGAAGCACCTGGATCAGAGGCTATAGACGAGTTGGGCTCTCCTGATACAGCAAAGGATCAACTGTGTGGCTACTCGGTTGAGACGACTGTTGCACCCGCAGTTTAAGCACGCCCTCGAAACCCAACCCCGGAGCCTGCACCCAGGCCCGGCCCTTCTCGTTTAACGGACCTACGAAAAGAGGAACGACTAGTCAATCCGATTCAAAGACGACTCCCCCCCAACGCCTTTCTGCAGACTGCAACGCACTTGCGTCCAAGTCACCCCAAGCTCCAGGGCTTCTTAACCTACAAGCAGACCGCCTGCACGCCGCCCCCCCAGAGCAATTGGCCGTTTCTATCATGCATGTCGTTTTCTGTTCATGAAACCAAAACCGACCAGTATCTGTCGGGAACAGTAATCTCCACACTTGATCTGTGGTGCCATCTCATCAGTAAAGGCAGACTCAGCGGCGCGATCTCCTCCTTGCCATCACCAACCTGGAACCTGGCTTCGACGACGACAGGTCAGCCAGACACTACCATTTGCATCCTTGCCGATTTGGCTTCTTGGGCTCCGATACAAGTCGAATAGAGTGATATATACAATGAACCACTCCATCGCAGGGACTGCCACCATGGACCAGGACAACCACCTAGCCCAGGACGAAGACAGCCACATGGCTCACAACCACGCATCTTTCGGCAACGAGGGCTGGGGCGACATGAGTCCTTATGGCCATCATAATGGACTTTCTGATTATGGAGGTTTCGCTTTTATGCCGACAGTCACTCATGGCTTGCCGTCCGAATCAATCGGCAGAATGCCCCCTCCGCCAGCTCCTGTCCAGCCGATGCAGTCACACCAACAACAATCTCATGCGCAACTTCCGATGCTCATGATACCCTCTCAGCCAACATGGCCCAGTATGTTGACGAATCCCAACAGCTATTCAGCACCGCCCTTGGGGATGGCGCCTGTAGTTGCTCCGGCGCCCTCCAGATCGACACGAATGTCCAACGGTTCGCAACCTCAGCAACGTAGGGTTCTGACCGATGACGACCGGAAGAAGATGTGCCAGTATGCCGCTGAGCACCCCAACGTAAAGCAGACGGATATCGGTGCCATGTTCGGTGTTGAAAGAAGGTAGGTTCAGGTAATGCCACAGTGAAGGCAACGAGGCTCTAACGTTGACATCTCAGCACGGTCTCCAAAGTTCTACGGAATAAAGAAAAGTATCTTAACCCGGAGGCAGACAGGAGCCAGTCTCCCGCTGGTAGGCGGCACAACAAGGGCAAGTTTCCGGATATCGACCGAGCTGTTGCCGCATGGGTCAGGAGACAGCAGCAAGTCGGATTGACTCCGAGCGACGACGAGATCCTTGATCAAGCAAAGCACTTTTCCCGGACTACCAACGGTGCTGAAGCCAGCCAGATAAAGTCCATCAACACCACATGGCTCGAAAGGTTCAAGCAGAGAAACATTTTGGTTTCAGGGAAGCTCTTACGCCGAGCTTCGGAGACGAACATCACCGACCATGCGAAGCTCTCTGGCTCTCCATCTCTTGGGGCATCTGCAATTTCACCGGCATCCCCAATAGGGCATCCATCTCCGCTGTCGGCCGACAGAAGCGATGAGGATGCCGTCCATGGCCTTGGTTTCATCGGTTTCGGGGAAGGCGGCGCGTACAAACACACCAATTCGCAAAGCACTACATCTATCAACAGTGCCTTGACAGACGCAGGTAACTCATCGTTCTCCGGAAGCGCCCTAAGCCCGACGGCAACTTTCACGTTCTCCCCTGACCCCAACAATGGGCAATTCCTCTCAAACGACGCATCCCGTCAACTACATGGGGGAGCTGCTTCGAACTTCCAGAGACCGAGAAGCCAGACATTTCCGACTCTTGACATTGAGTACATGAACCAAGTCGGGGCAACAGAACCTATGACTCCGAAGTACCATCCTGCTTCCACGGCACCCTCGTCCGCATTGGAATCTCCTGTTCATGAAATGACAGCCCCGCATTTTGGTCTGGACACTGCTATTACCTCTTCGCCACATTTGCATCATAGTAGTAGTAACGGCAGTATGGCTGGGCGATCTGCTACAACCCCCGCGGGTTCTTCTCCGACGTCGCCTACTCAGGAGGATGCTCGAAAGGCCGCAGACACTCTACTGAGCTACATTCAAAGCAGTGGTGGAGGAGCATTGCTGGATCAGACAGAGTACATGATGATGATAAGGCTTACGGAAAAGCTACGACTACAGCAGCATCAGCTTGCCAAGGCTGGAGCGCCTCAGTCATTAGGTACTCTGGATCGAATCCCCGAGGGAGATGCCGAGATGTCGCCGCAGCACCCTCCCCCAATGTCCCTAGAGATCAAGTCCGAGCCGGTCGTGACTCGGTGATCACAAATTTATCGCCCTTTCCGAATGGCTTTACACAGGCAACACCATATCGGATCGGCTATCGGATGCCTCCTTTTTGGACAGAACGTTCATTGTTTTCTCAAGGCGTTTGTTGGCTTTGGTTTTGAGCTGGATCTGGGAACAGCCACATCGTGCATACGTGTGCGGATATCAACAACAGAACAATGGATCATCTTGGTCTCACCATTCTCTAGACTCGGCAAGAGTTCTGCAAAGAACGTAACCAGCTTGCCGTGATCGGGTTTCGGTTTCGTGGAAAAAAGAACAAACATACCATCAACGGTTCCTATCACAGGGTATCCAAAAGCCCTAGGCATACACGGTTTCAGTCTCACGACGGCCCCCGGGCCTCTCTCGATGTATCTTGAGGCCCCCGTCCCCCTTTTCCGTTTGAACTCCATGATGACGAGTTCAACCGCCTCATCTCCCCGGTTGCCAGTCTCACGACATTGGAATATGGCAGAATATACCTTATTATTACAGAACCGGTGAGGGAGCGTGCTAAACAACGTCCGCGCGGTCAACTTTTGATCTCCTTTTCTTTTCCCGCTCGGAACAACGCAGTATCATTGCCATACTCAAAACTACCATCAACATATTCATATACCCCAAACACACTATCGCTCCCTCAGGGGAAGAACTTTCCGCTCACGCGAACACCGAAATTCCCCATTGCGCGACTGTTTCAGCTTCAAATTCTTTCTGTTAACCTTCTTTCATATCTTTGTTGGTGCGAATTTCTGCAAGTTTCTGTCACTTCTTCGTATTTGGACTCTGGTCTCGACTCTTCACTGTATTATCTTTCTTTGACGCTCTCTGCATTGGAAGACGGGTACTTTCTTCTTCTATTGGTTGGAGGCTGTTTAGCCAGGCGCGGGAGGACGGGAAGGAAACAAGGTGAGAGGGAAGGGGTTTGGGAAGAGGATTATACGCAAGACTCGGAGAGTGGGTGTTTACGGTGATGGTCTTGGTCACGAGAAGGCATGGGCACGGGTTATCATAATTGATCAGCGGTTCAGGACGATGTCGGGACGGGGAGCAGGACAGCGAGGAACACGGCATCAATTTCATGGCGGAAGAGGCCCGAGGATGATGGGGAGACGATGTTGGACAAAGAGGGGTGAGAGGCGTTCACCCCCCGAGTCGCGGCCAGACGGCAGGGGAACCTCCCTTTCCCTTATGACTGGTCAAGACTCGCGTTGCCCCGGCCAGAGTATGCGCGGAAAACCGAGAAAACCGGGCGGCCCCTTTTTTGCATTTGATTTCCTAGGGAATAGCCCCCTTTTTTCCTCTCTTCCCATATCCCTCACTGGTCCGCAAAGCACACGAACAAATACGTCGTTTCTCTCTCACATTCTCTCTCCCGCCTCACTGTGTTCACAAAATATGTGTGGAGAAGAATCAAGGGTGAAGAATACTGCGTGCGTTACGGGCGTCTCCTACAGAAAGGGTATCTAAAACACGAGAAAAGAACGATCACAAAAAGGGTCATAAAACTGCAGGAATCCATCATAAGCTCAGACGCTCCTCCCAGAGCTCGACAACACCCTTTTCCGCCAGCTCAGGCATCAACCTCACCAGAATCAGCTCCAAGATGCTGTATACCAGGTGCTTATTGCAGTACTCGTCCGAGAAGACGTCAAGAATTCCATCCTCGATTTCGGAGAGCATCTGCTGTTGGCTACCATCCTCGCCGTCTCTGTCACTGATGTTACCGTCTTCGCTATTGGCAATAACGTCGGCCTCTTCGCCGCTACTGCCAACCTTGCTAGGGCCGTCGGCCTCGCTCTCGCTCAAAGCAGCAGCAGCAGACTTCGAGGCCGGATCGGACCGCCACCGGAGGCCAAGGCCTCGCCCGCCTAGGTACAGGTTGGCCAACCAGGGCGGGAGTCTGGCCAGAAGGGCGCTAGCGCACCTGCGGCGCAGAGCACGCAGCTCTTTGTCGGATGAGGGGGGCACCATTGTCGAGACGCCCGGGGCGTTGTTGGGGAAGAGGGCAGCGCGGATGGAGCGGAGGAGGGTCGGTAGGTATGCGGCGTCGAGAAGACGTTGGTGGATGGTGTGCGAAATGAGCCTGTATTTCGACGCGGCAAGCGCTCCATGTCAGTCCCGGGTACACTTCCGACTCGGAGTCACAACGGTTAGTGTGTGGGGGTTGCAGGATCTTTCGTATGTGAGCTGACAAAGGGAAGCAACGATCTGCGGCAAGGGAACTGGGCGAAGGGGGCTAGAAAGTAGGAGACGGCAGGAAAGGAATGGGGCACAGCTGGGTGGTGGTAATACGAGAAGCAGGACAAGGGATCAGACACCGCCGATGGCGGGCTTGCGGCAAATCATGTTCAGAGCCGGTCGAGGATGCGGCCTCCAGGTCCGGTAGACGAAGATGCGAAATGAAGCCATCGCAGCTCAGGTATAGGAGGCTTCAGAATCTCGTTGTCGCTCTTGAAAACAGCGTGTCGAAATATCTGGGCGTACTATATGTGTGTTCGTCTTCGCGACAGAAGGTGGCGTGGACGACAACAAGCCACCAAATGCGCAAAGTCTCGAGGTGTGAGTCGCTGTGTACTTCGTCTTCCCAGGACGAGCCCAGCCAAGCTTCGCATCGAACCACGGGGGACAGGTAGTTAGCCGCCCGGGGAGGACAGGCTATCCAGCCCATTTTTCGGGACGGGTCGAGTCACTGCTCGTGATCGGGACCGTTCCGCCGCATTGATCCAAGGCATCGACAGGCGGTCAGGAACGAGAGCCCTTGACAAGCCCCCTCATAAGCTGGATCCTGATAGTGGCCTTAGAAGTAAGACTCTGGACCGGGAATGCGCGTCAAATTCCAACGCTGGGTTGAGATGACAGTGGGGCGATGCGAAGCGAAGGCCGACGGTTGAGCTGCTGAGTACAGTGTCTCCGTAGGCGAGGGTGGGCGAAGAGATGACGGTGATGAGAGGGCCCCCTGCACAGTGATGCTCTTTGTTGGACCTGGGCGCGTAAATGAGGCTTGCTGGTGGATGGAAGCGCAGCCCCGCGAGGCCTATCAAGCAAATCGGAGGCGAGTAACGTCGAAACATGCTGCGATTGGTTGAAAGCCACGAGGTCCTTGGAATGCAACCGCATGTTTCGAGGAATCGGGAAAAGAGGTCAAGTCAGGGTTGGGTCGCATAATGGGCCGGGTGGGAGTGTGTCGCACAGCAGATCTCGGCCTTTTTCGCGCGGTCCTGCACCAAACTCGACCACATCGCTGCATGCACCCCAGGCCGTACCGTTGCAAGCGGTATCAACCAGCTTCAACAAATCCGTTCAGTGTGCAGCCCACTAGACCATCATGGAAAAGGCTGTCCCGTCTCACGCACTTGTCCGACGGGATGCTTCTGACCGCTCACTGGAGCTGGCTGAGGTCCAGTGACTTGAACCTCATGCGGTGTGACGTGAACATTCCAAAACAGGGAGAGAGAGAAAGTGAAGGGTGGTTGCCTACCTATCCATGGCTCCGTTGAGACCAGCAACACGACCTGGGCCTTTCATTGCTCCAAGCTGTAGCATCGATAGCATTCCGCTCAACCAAGGCATGCGAGTGTCCATTTCGATCAAGTCCGATATGCAGGTCCACAGTTTGAAGGTGGCAATAGGCGTCTTCACTGGCCGCGCCTCGTTTGAACTAGTGGCAGGATTTGGCGTTTTCGAGTTTGATATTTGACCAGTCGCCTCGTGTTCCTCGTTCAGGTCACGGTCTGACCGTGGGGGCAAGGATGAAGACATGGCGAGAGTGGTGATGAGCAGACGGATGGATGTGAAGGCGAGGAATGACCATTGTACAAGCGACCAGAACGCCCCCTGGACGGACCAGCTACGACGAGCCAGTTTAGGGCCCGCGGATGTTGACCCGGCCCGCAAAGAGTCCGCAGCCCCTTCTTCGATAGGTCCTGATTTCCCCTTATCAAGGACTCTGGTGAGAATGATAAGGCATTCGTAAATGAGCCAAGGTTGCGAGAGTCGATTGGCGAGAACATTACCAATGATCAACTCGGAAAAGATTTGGCCGACTAGGGAGGTTAGGCAGTCGTTTTCAAGGTCTTCAGTTGGCAGGAGAACAGCGAGTACTCCATGTACCAATAGCTGACGGTAGATGGCTTCGTTTCCTTTCTGAGCCGCGACAGACGAAGGGTCTTCTGGACGAGGTATGGGCGACAAAGGGGCCAAAGGGCAAAGTGAGTGGTACACTTCTCGAGGGTCGATTTCGGTTGGAGGTTTGGAAACGGGATCATGCGCTGCGCGATAGGCTGTTGGGTACATTGTCAGCGAAAACTGCTACGAGAACTGCATATGCTCACCCACCTAAAATGTGTCTGTCCAGCAAATCGGGAAGCTCATCAAACAGGAGACTTTCCAAGTCAACTTTCCGTAGTCGTTGCTCCAAAGCTCTCGTGCAATGGGCAATTATCTGGACGATTTCGTCGACAAATGTGTCATCGGGAGTGATCTTGCTATACCACGCTTGTACATATTCCCTCAGAATAACCGCAATGAGTGCGTATAGCTGCAGGTCAACATCGTTTCGGCTGGTCAGGGGCGGTAGCAGCTCCTCGATCGGGGCGGGAGTTGCCCTCCCTCTTTCAGCCAGATGCTTGGAGCATAGCACGCGACGGATGAAGGCAGCGGTGGCCTTGTCGGATAGGAAGTCTGTCGGCGCAGGCCGGGCGGACCGGCGAGCAGAAGGGTTGCCCTGTAGTGGAGGACGAATTCGGTCGGCGCCGGGGGTGGGCAGAGGTGTAGGGATGGTCGAGGCCGCGTCGGTCGAGAAGCTGACTGTCGCGGGGGCTTTTGGGCGCGGCGTCGGGGCGCGAGGGGTAGCGACAGCTGCCATGGCCGTCTATGTTCGGCGCAACCGCAATCTCATGGTCTGCTTAAGGTGGGTTTGGGCGCGTATGGCCCTTTGGCGGTGATGGTGGTGAAGTGAGGAGCTGTCGTCGACTTTGGCTTGCAGCCAGCAAGAATTCAGACGACGCCGATCCGCGAGGTGGTCGAGACGGCGGGCGGGAAACTGGGGACCTCCCCCCCGGTGCTGGTTGGGTTGCAGGGAAGGGCTGGTCTCCCGCTGCAGTTGCGTTTAGCGGCTCAACGGCCATGGCCCTGTGCTCTGCAGCCAGCCACCTCTGGTACCAAAGGCTGACTTACATAAGGCGCCTGCCGGAGTGGCCCGCATCTGCATAGGACGAGCCGGCACTTGCCCCGGTCGCCGAACCTGACCTGCCGGGACGTTTGGCAACGCATGCGCTTGTCTTGCTAATGCGAGTCAGATTCACATGGAGTACACGCAAAACGTTCTGGAAGCTTTCCCGTCTTAGTCCCTTGTGGCGCTGGTTCTCGAGTACACTTTCGAAACCGAATTCTGAGCATCAGTTATGCACGTCTGACTGGATTAACTTTAACACTGGTTGGCATTTACTCTTCACTATGTTAACTTAAATCACCTAGGTATAAGTTAGAATAAGTAGCTCAGGTCAAGCACTTGTGGGTACAGTGCTTCAGAAGAAGCGGGCATGCTCCTAGTCTCACAAACAAGTCACACAACGGTAAGAGTCGACTTGATCTTGATATTTCTCATCTCCTGTTGTACAATGCACATGCCGGTAGAAGTATAGTACACTTATTTACAGGGCCCCCGCATTCGGCCAGGCACCAGTCCCTACTTCATGCCTTCAGTGAACACAGCTGCCGCCTATTCATCGTCCTTCTTGGTCGTCTCATATCTGCTGCAAATTAGCACTGAGTCACATCAAAGGCATAGTCGAATCGCGTACCTCTTTCCGCGGAACGCCCACACTCCCCAGTTTCCGCAGCTGACGTCCTGGGGATCCAGATCGTTCATGTCCCACCTCAAGCTGCGGAACAGGTTTTCGCCAGGTTCCAGCAGCACATCGAACTCGCCGGCGGCCGTCTTGCGAACCCATTCAATGTCTCTCTCCATGTCGAACTGCGTGTAACCCGTGGCGATGATGGGAAGCTTGGTCTCCAAAAGTAGAGGGAGCGTCTCCGTCCACTCGTGGCTGCTTGCGGGATGGCCCAGGCCAGGGTGGAAAAGACAGAAACAGTCAAAGTACGGGTCGTACGGCGCAAAGTACCCGGTCTTGTGGATGGTATGGTAGTAGTCCACAATAGTGCTGATCTTCATCTTGTGCGATATCCGGTCCTCAATGACCATACCGAAGGGGTTCTCGGGGGTTCGCGGCGGCAACGGGAACTCGTCATCGCGGTTTGCCATACTCTCCGGGCCGATAAAGATAAGATGAACCCTGCTCTCGGGGAACAGATGCGCGAGCTGGAGCCAAACGTTTCTAGGCAGCGATGATTCGGCACGAGCTCCCAGGCAAAATATCCGCACAGGAGGAGCTTCGGGACGAAGGTCCTTCATAGCCGTGCCCTTTCCGGACAGTGGAGGGTGAAGGGTGTACCGTAAAGCTATCACAATGTCAGTTCCGAGGCCCTTCCGTTGCCGGTATTCGCAAACTTACCACTCAAACTCTTCAAACCCTCGCTCGTCAATCTTTCGCCTTGCTTGATGCTGTAAGGGCTCAGCTCATGGAGAACACTACCAATGGTGATAGGGTATGTAAGCATCTTCGTAACCTGGCGCATGCTACGCTCATCATTTATGGCCTCGAATTCGCGGCTGTACATGAAGGTATCCCAGTTCGTCATGTTAACAACAGCCTCAGGCATCTGATCATCTGCCATAACGAACTCGGGGAACGCGCGGCCAGACCGAAGATCATGGTCGTCTTCGTTAATCTCCTTCAAAGTGTCACAGATCTCGAGATGAGCCTCGTAGTCATCCATCCAGTGTTCCTTGCTGCAGTAAACAGGGACTCCACAGTCGGGGCATTCGAAATCGACGTGCGCCGGCGCAAGCTGGCCCGTTTGCGACTGGGCTTCCTCTCCGTGAGGGGCAATGGTAGGAACTCGAGTCGCGCGATGTTCTGGGTGAGGGCAATACGCATGCTGTCTCATGAAAGCCGCACGGCGGCGGATCTCTGGGATAGGCGAGTTCGTGAAGGAGTGGAATAGGTCGTCCGATCGGAGCTTAGGGGCCGGGCTTTCGTTGGCGGTGGCCTTGGCAGCAACAGCTTCTTGCGAAGCTTTCGGCGTCGAAGAAAATTGTCTCGTAGGCGTATTGGTTGTCTTCGATCTCCTCGAAACAGTTGAATGGAGGCTTCGGGTCGAGTGGGCTGATGCAATTCGAGGGGCGGTTCTGGAGACTCCATTGGCAATCAATTGCTTCCGCAAGGTTGCAGAACATTGTCCGCAAACGCTGGATACTGCTCTTCGCAATGCTGGCTCCATCTTGGGCAACTGTGATGTAAGCCCAGTTGCGTGACCTGCGATGATTCTCAGTTCCGGCGAGCTGCGGAAGCTTGCGCTCGATGCCTTCCGACCCGAAATTTTGGAAGAGCTCGGATCAACAAAGCCCCGGCGCCGCTGGTCCCCACTACTCCTAGCGAACTCGTCTCAGGTGCCAAGTGGGAACCTGGAGCTTCTGAAATTTTGTACTGGAGCTCCCCAGCCTCCCAACCCAGCAACACCTCAAAAACACCACCGCGTCTCGTGTCTTGCCCATCTATTCGAGCTCGAACCTTGAGGCCGCGCAGGCTATCTGCGCTCACCTGCAAATATGGCGACGACCTCAAACATGTTCCTGTACTCGCTGACCCTTCAGCCGCCTACCAATGTCACCCAGGCGGTGTTGGGTCAGTTCTCAGGAACGAAAGAGCAGAACATTGTGACGGCTTCGGGATCTCGGTTGACATTGCTTCGTCCGGACCCGTCACAGGGCAAAGTCATTACCTTGCTCTCTCACGACATCTTTGGAATCATCCGTTCCATGGCCGCATTCCGTTTGGCTGGAAGCAACAAAGGTAAGTCTCGTGCCCCCATCCCATTTGAAGCTTCACTTAGTGATTTGAGAAGCTTGCCGGTCGCGACAGGTGTCCTCACAACCAATGTCGCTCGACTTCGGAGGCGAGACGTGATTGTCAAAGGACTTTGCTGACCTTGTGTCAAAAGACTACCTCATTCTCGCGACTGACTCTGGAAGGATCACCATCATCGAGTACATTCCTGCACAGAATCGATTCCAACGTCTGCATCTGGAGACTTTTGGCAAGTCTGGAGTGCGACGAGTCATACCTGGGGAATATTTGGCCTGCGATCCTAAGGGTAGAGCGTGTCTGATTGCCTCGGTCGAGAAGAATAAGCTTGTCTACGTTCTCAATCGTAACTCGCAGGCAGAGCTCACAATCTCGTCGCCTCTTGAAGCACACAAGCCTGGCGTTCTCGTGTTGTCCATGGTTGCCCTGGATGTTGGTTACGCGAATCCGGTCTTTGCCGCGCTCGAGATTGAGTACACAGAAGCAGACCAAGATCCCACGGGAGAGGCGGCTCGTGAAGCAGAGACACAACTTGTTTACTACGAGCTGGACCTTGGGTTGAACCATGTCGTCAGGAAATGGTCTGAACCAGTCGACCCCACGGCTTCCCTGCTCTTCCAAGTGCCGGGTGGTCAGGATGGCCCTAGTGGAGTCTTGGTCTGTGGCGAGGAAAACATCACGTACAGGCATTCCAACCAAGAAGCCTTCCGTGTACCGATCCCGCGTAGGCGCGGTGCGACGGAAGACCCGTCGAGGAAGCGTCACGTCGTTTCCGGTGTGATGCACAAGCTCAAAGGCAGTGCCGGCGCCTTCTTTTTCCTCCTGCAGACCGAAGACGGAGACCTCTTCAAGGCTACCATCGACATGGTCGAGGACGCTGATGGTAATCCCACTGGCGAGGTTAAGAGGCTCAAGATCAAATACTTCGACACCATTCCAGTCTCATCCAGCTTGTGTATTCTCAAGAGCGGTTTCTTGTACGCCGCAAGTCAGTTCGGCAACCATCAGTTCTACCAGTTCGAGAAGCTTGGAGATGACGATGAGGAACTCGAATTCTCAAGCGACGACTTTCCCACAGACCCCAAGGCTGGATACGACGCTGTGTATTTTCACCCAAGACCTTTGGAGAACCTTGCCCTCGTTGAGAGTATCGACTCGATGAACCCTTTACTTGACTGCAAGGTGGCAAATTTGACTGGCGAGGATGCTCCACAAATTTACACAGCCTGCGGCAACGGTGCTCGCAGTACATTCAGGATGCTAAAGCATGGATTGGAAGTCAATGAAATCGTGGCTTCAGAGCTACCCGGCATTCCCTCAGCTGTGTGGACGTTGAAGTTGAACCGCGGCGACCAATACGATGCTTACATTGTTCTGTCTTTCACCAACGGAACACTTGTTCTTAGCATCGGTGAAACTGTTGAAGAAGTCAGTGACTCTGGCTTCCTAACATCTGTGCCCACGTTGGCGGCACAGCTGCTCGGTGAGGATGGTCTCATCCAGGTTCACCCCAAGGGCATTCGCCACATTCGCCATGGCCAAGTCAACGAGTGGGCAGCGCCGCAGCATCGGTCCATTGTCGCAGCTACCACAAACGAGCATCAGGTTGCGGTGGCCCTGAGCTCGGGTGAGATCGTCTATTTCGAGATGGACGGCGATGGATCTTTGGCCGAGTACGACGAGAAAAAAGAAATGTTCGGTACCGTTACTTGTCTGAGCTTGGGCGAAGTTCCGGAAGGACGCCTTCGAAGCTCATTCTTGGCTGTCGGCTGCGATGATAGCACCGTGCGTGTTTTATCGCTGGACCCGGAGTCGACGCTCGAGAGCAAGTCGGTGCAAGCTTTGACTGCACCTCCCTCGTCTTTGGCAATCATTGCCATGGATGACTCCTCGTCTGGGGGATCAACCCTTTATCTTCACATCGGCCTTCACTCTGGTGTCTACCTTCGTACAGTTTTGGACGAGATCACTGGAGAGCTGACGGACACAAGACAAAAGTTCCTTGGCCCCAAGCCGGTGCGGTTATTCCAGGTCACTGTTCAAGGGCGGACTTGCGTCATAGGGTTGAGCTCACGTCCATGGCTTGGATACTCTGACCCTATCACTCGTGGCTTCGTAGTTACGCCCTTGAACTACGTTGACCTTGAATGGGTCTGGAACTTCAGCAGTGAGCAGTGCGAAGAAGGTGTTGTCGGCATCCAAGGCCAATCGTTGAGGTAAGCACGCCTTCCATTTGAATCACCCCTTCCTTTCATGACATGATGAGAAATTTGGGATCCTATGCCAAAGCGCTATGAGGTCTTACGCAACATACCAATTGTTCCTACTGAGTCATATCAAAATCTACATCTTTTGAAGTCACATGTCTAGATCAGCACTGACGAGACATAGAATTTTTGCAATTGAGAATCTCGGGGACACTATTACACAAAAGTCGATACCCCTTAGCTACACTCCGAGACGCCTTCTCAAGCACCCAGAGTACCCCATGTTTTACACTATCGAGGCAGATAACAACACGCTGCCTCCTGATCTTCGAGCCAAACTCATCGCGGAACCGGGTGTTGTAAATGGCGACGCCCGGATCCTCCCACCTGATGAGTTTGGATACCCTAAGGGCAAGGGCCGATGGGCTTCATGCATCAGTGTCATCGACCCTTTATCCGAGGAGCAACGGGTCTTACAGACTGTTGACCTCGATAACAACGAAGCAGCCGTAAGTGCTGCGATCGTGTCTTTCGCTAGCCAGGACAACGAAAGTTTCCTCATTGTCGGCACAGGCAAGGATATGGTTGTCAACCCCCGCCAGTTCTCTGAAGGCTACATTCATGTCTACCGTTTCGGCGAGGATGGCCACGAACTGGAGTTCATTCATAAAACCAAGGTCGAGGAACCCCCTTCGGCGCTCCTCGGCTTCCAAGGAAGGCTACTTGCCGGAATCGGCAAGACCTTGAGGATATATGACCTGGGTCTGAGACAGATGCTTAGAAAGGCTCAAGCCGATGTGGCTCCGCAGTTGATTGTGTCACTGAGCACACAAGGAAGTCGTATAGTTGTCGGCGACGTCCAGCACGGCATCACCTACGTCGTCTACAAGCCTACCACCAACAAGCTTATCCCCTTCGTCGATGATACCGTCTCCCGATGGGTCACCTGCACTACTATGGTCGACTACGAATCAGTTGCTGGAGGCGACAAGTTTGGCAACATGTTTCTTGTCCGCTGCCCAGAGAAGGCAAGTCAAGAAGCCGATGAAGAATCTGGCGGTTTGCACCTTCTCAACACGAGGGACTACCTCCATGGCACCCCCCACCGCCTCAACCTCCTCGGCCACTCATACACCCAAGACGTTCCCACCAGCATCACCAAGGCGAGTCTGGTTGTCGGTGGCCAGGACGTGCTTCTATGGAGCGGTATCAACGGCACCATTGGCGTCTTCATCCCTTTCGTCACGCGTGAGGACGTCGACTTCTTCCAGAACCTCGAGCAGCATATGCGAACCGAGGATGCGCCGCTTGCCGGCAGGGACCACCTTATGTACCGTGGCTACTACGTTCCCGTCAAGGGCGTCATCGACGGCGACCTGTGCGAGAGGTACACTCTCTTGCCCAGCGACAAGAAGCAGATGATCGCCGGCGAGCTAGATCGCTCAGTGCGAGAGATTGAAAGGAAAATCTCAGACATTCGTACTCGGTCCGCCTTTTAAGGCTGCAGACCGGCGGTGGTTTTGTTTTCTCATATGGGCAGGTTTGCTCCCCAAGTCGATCTTCGCGCAGGAGACGGGGACGCTAGGACATGTTGCGTGTATTGTGTACAAAGCGTTCCAACGGAATATGGTAGCGGCGTTTTTTATACAGGCCAAACAGAGCCTTGGGTGGTTCAGGACATGATGACGATGCAAATGAAAAGAGTTCTAATAAACACCAGATGCCCCAAACGCCGACTGTTCTTGCGTCGTGCCAAATGTCAAGTGATGATCCCCTAGTGTCTCAATTCTCATATTCGCCCCTCGAACCTCACGCAGAGCCCCTCCAAAACGGCCCACGATCTCGCGGTGCGGCTTTGTTCTTCTTCTTCCCTCCCTCTTGCACGGGATGATTTCTCTCCCAAGCCTCATCGTCACAGTACGCCTCCATGGCCGCCGCTAGGTCGTACCCAACCTGCTCAAGGTACAGCACAGCAACATCGTAGTCGGAGACCTTACAACCGGTCATGAAACGGCGGATGCGACTTTTGCGCAGCTCCTCCTCTTCGCCCTCGACGGGCCGCGGCGATAGGCTGACGCCGGCGGCGTAATACTCGCCCGGGATCAGCACCGTCCGGCGGCCCTGGAGAAGGTGGTCGCTGGTAATGTTGTTTGCGCGACGGAGGACGGCGGCGGGCACGCCGTAGCGGAGGGACAGCGAGGCGACGGTGTCGTGCTCGTGGTTCAGGAAGTGGAGGGTGTCCTCGGGCGGCGTCGCAGTCGAAGATGACGGGGCGCTGCCACCGCTCTTCTCGTCGAGAGATGTGTCGGCGGTGCTGGGCGTGTACGGCGGGGGCGGGGCCGCAGGGGCGCCGGAGGAGAGGTGGTGGGTTGGTGGGAAGGAGCTGTACGACGGTGGGTCCTTGAGGTTCGGGGGCAGCACTGAAGGCGCCGAAGAAGTTTGGCAGTATGGGCAGTAGGACGCGAAACGGGGATTGTTCTGCAGGCAGTCAGCATCGCCAAGCGGGGAAGGCGAAGGGAAAGTAGACGGGAAAGTAGACGGACGTAGATGCAATTTCCGCAGATTACACGAGAGCAGCACTCGAGTCGCCTATCGCCCGGGAGCGGCTTCTCGGTGGCGGTGCTGTGCCGGGGGACGGAAGCGAGAAGCTTCGCGCAGGTGCAGCAAGCTTCGTCTTCCATGGCTGTTGCGTTGCGCTCGGTTTTCATGGTTCTGCAAGATCAAACGTCGCAGTTTACAGGTCTTTGGATCGCATGTGTACCTTGACTTCTAAGGAAAGTTAGCAGCATGGCGCGCGTGAGGATGGGTTACTGCCGAGGGAAGTGCATGAACCTTAGTCCGCGATAGTGAGCCGCCGACGGTGTCACGGGCTGAAGGGTCCTATCCCCACAGTGTCGCCACCCCCACTGCGCCGCACCGCCACCACGGCCGAGCTGGCCGGAGTTTACTGACGTCTTCCATCCGTATTTCGTCCAAGTGTTTCGAACCGCTGTGGTGAAATGCTCGCAGGCACGCCATCGCGGCCCGACCAACCCTATAGGATATATATATCAGAGACGAAGTCTGACACAGCTACCATTGCAAACTCGGTCCTTGAGCGGTACTCTTACAGCTCAGTCAAACTGATAACAGCCGGCGCTACAAGTGGCCGGCAAGTAAAGGATTTTCCGTGTCAAGAAACAGCTTCTAGACTAGGGCTCGGATATGCTGAGATCGCATGCGCGTGCTGTGTGTTCGCGAAGATAAAGACTGTTAGTACTATCTCAATAGCGTATGTTTCTTTCAAGTTGCTGGAATGAGTTTGGAATGAGTTTACCAAAAACCTCGGTGACACATGAGAGCAACTTGACAATGTACCAACAAACGCTTGAGAAGAGATAGGGATGGGAGGAAACGCCATAATGAGTGGAAAATATAGATAGCTCGAATCCGGGCCGTATTTCGAGCTGTCCTGTTATGTCAAGTATGAGCCTAAAGCTGTGGGTGTTCTCACAGGACACCCACCATACCATTGCCAGAATGAAGTCATTGTCGCTGTTGATCGGGTTAGAGGCAAAGCTATTCAACAGAGGGAGGAACCTGTGGGGTCCTCGACCTATTCCCTTGGGCTTTCGATGCTGCCCGGCCATGAAGACAATTCTCAATCTGCTAACTTCGTGTCCTCTCGCTCTATGTATTAATACAGTTTGCATGAATACTTGCAGTCCAAATCTTACCCTTATCGGGCAGTTGTCCTAGAAAGACAACAGACACCATAAGCCGTTGCGCGAAGGCGCGGTCTGTGAAGGGTGAGGACTAGGCCGCAAAGGGGGCATTCGGCATCTCCAACACAACATCATATACAATAGACGGAGTTAGCAAAACTGGAAAGAGAGATCGTATCTCGAAGGATCTAAAGACTCCAGTGGTTCTCTCTCAAAGGGCCCCTTACGAGCAGGGAGAGAGGGAAGCTTCGGCAATCACCAGCCGGTCCACCTGTAAGCCGACGGTCATGCGTCCAAAGCTTCGAAACAGCTCATTTGGCTACGTTACCTTTCAATGTGGCGCTTGAGCTTGATTGATCCTGTTGAAACCTAGCTTCCATAAGCCGGTGTTTGATATAGTAGAGGCTCAAATTCGATGGAAAACCAAGTTAGTTACATATTATGGAGCTAACAGAGCTACCAGCAACTGAATCTTTCGGAACCAGTCTTAGATAAAATTCAATCACAGTCTGTTTCGAAGCTTTATCCCACCAAGCCATTGGCTGTGTTGTATCATAGGTCAAGGCTGTCTTTCTTTGTACAGTCTTCGTTCCAGTCGTAGTGCAATGAGATGGTTTTCTTACTCTGACGGACGAGCAATCCCGTCTCATCAATGTCTCCAGCCTACAGGGCCTCGCCGTGCCCTTGACGCGTGACTCAACAAAGGCCTCAACCTCGATTGCTGCAACGTCGGCATTATACTCCCCCAACAACCACTGGGAGCGGGATACTTCCCTGACAGTCATGTTGTTTCCTCATCCACGTCTTCGGCTGTATGGGCCATGTCTGTCATCTGCTCGAGGAGTTGGCAAACATCGTTGTTGTAGGAAGAAGCTCGAACGAGATGATTATCGAGACTTCTTGAATGGAGAGTTGCCCCTTGCTCGTTTGTTCGTTTTGGTAAAGCCATCATCTTAGCAATGTCGGCACGTCCATCCGTCATATGATGTAAATACCGCACTCCCATGTGGCGGCCGCAGTTATCTTCTGAACAAGACTGTTTATTGTATACCAGTGAGTGTTATTCAGATTGATTGCGAACATTGGGGTTCTGATGCTGAAGGCCTGTTGATTCTCGCTTCATGGGTAAGGCAACGGAGGGCCCGAAGAGGATGTTTTCTTGTTATTCTCACAGTGGGCTTCGAGATTACTAACGCTGAAGGTGGTGTAATCCGCCGAACGCAACGGCGTCAACTTGGCGTCTGCTGGCCGGGCAAAACTTGGACCAAAGATAGAGGAGGCAAGGCTGAGAAGACATGATGTAAAAGATCACGGAACAGTCTATTCGAGTGGCTCCAAGAAGGGCCTCTAGATATCTTTATGAACAGAAGAGGAAATAGGGAGAACATAGACATAGAGGGGAAGGAGTAGCGTAACTTCCCCAAAGACATCGAGGCAACCGCCCGCAGTGGAACTACTATGGCAGAAGTTGCTACCTCCCATTCACGTGTCAATATTCTCATCCTGTACCCTTTGATGAAGTACCCCCAAACCCTGCTAGTGCTCCTCATAGCTCATGTCTCCTGCCGTTCCCACTGCCTTCATCGCAAGAGACTTTCAATGACGTGCAGCCGAGTGAATTAGGCACTTCAGCCTAAAATCTGTACGGGATTGCCGATAGTCCATTCGTGACTTGAGTTTAATAGGACCACGAACTTAGCAAGTTCTAGTCTGAGCTTTTTGCCGTTTTGGAGACTTTGAATATGCCTCATACTGTTTGCCACATTAGTATGTCGGGGTTTCTTTCAGGCTTTTACGTTCGGTTCGAATTCTAGAGAGCCAACTCACTTGGTCGCGCCTTCAGCAACGTCGTTCAGGCCCAATATACTAACGCAAGGCCACCGCTTCCATGTGTCACCTTCCAGTCAGTCAACAGCGAGTGCTGAGTGTAATCCTTCTCCTTGCTCCAAGCTCTATCGCATACGATAGCCATATCTGTAGGGTCGTACACAAAGAGTAACGTCCGCTGATCACCTACGAAAGCCCTGTGTCTTTAAGTCACTGAGACGTCATTCGATGAACCAGGCAATCATACGTCGTAGGAGCGACCTGTGGTTTGTATTAAAAGCCTCAACGATTTATTAGATCCCCTTTTTGACGTCTTGGCACCTTCCAAATAGCAGCTTTAGCAGGAAAGACGATATCGTTGCTCATAGAGGTTCTTCAATATGCGCGTGGTTAATTCACTGGGCTCTCGGTGTTCTGTTTCGTCCGGATCCTTGGAATGCTTCTTGTCCGAGGTCAAGAAGGACATCTACTTACCCTGAATATGTAATTGGTTCCCAAGCTCCGTTACGACTTTCGCTGTGATTCCAGATTTTCGAATAGTGAACATGCGCTTCTAAACTAGGATCTTCGCGCCAAGAAGTGGGCTTAGATGAGGTTACCTACGATACCTAAAATACTGTCCAGATGTAAAGCCCTGTCAGAGGTTCAACTGCAACCCAGCGATAAGTCAAAGATCCAAAAGTGAAAGCTATAGACATAAAGAAAGGGATGGTCCCGATTCGATCAGGCACAAGATACAGTCTTAAACGACCGATGAAGCAAACGTTGGTAAACAAAAAAGAATAGGCAAAGCCGTTTGGGTAGGGTCAAGCTCATCTTAACCATCAAAACCAGATTTATAAACAAAAGGTATAAGTATATTCATTCCCAAGAGCAAGGTATGTATTGCTACGGTCAGATGTCCAACAGTGATGTTTTCTGCTGCAAGTTGCCAAGGTTGATACTACCGAACAGTAACCGTAGGTCTTGCTGGCAATCTTGTTGGTCTGAGTAAACGGCAACCAGCCGAAAGTAATATTTCGGGAACCTAGAAATTATCATCGCAAACTACAATCGGAATCGCTTGGTAGTTGACTTCTTATGGTCTACGTATCATTCATGTTCTGGGCTGGAAATCTAAAACTCATTGCGTGTCTTTTACGATGGCGTTTGGGGCTCGATATTCCTTCTGTATTGCAACTCGGACCAAGACCACTCAGAGAAAATGACACATAAGAGGCCATCATTAGGCCGGAACCAGTCGACCAGGCATATTTCTTTTCATTGATTCTCAGCAAGCAGCGGGCTTTTATCGGGCACACAAAAGGCATCAAAGGAGTGTAACCAAACTCTTCCGCTACCGAGAGCCCCACTCGGATCTCCCCGGATCTTCCAGTTTTGTTAATATTATACCAAATAAGAAGACTGATTTAAAAGCGTAGTATGCCAATACTATAAACGATACATTTTTAATTTATGTGAGTTTGTCGAAAATTGCACCATCCCATCGACGTCGAATAGCCGTGGTGGTGAGCCAACCGAGAGACGGTTACCAATTTAACGACTCGAGTGTGAACATAGAGCTCAAATGTGCTTTGTAACCACAGGAAACCTAATATGAAAGTTCACCATGTTCAATAAGAATTGTTTTTTATGATTTGTTGCTTGAGCCATTCTATGGGCCATCTTCATTAGAGCACATGTGCAGCGTTTACTTACTCAAGTTTTAACACGAAAATGAGGGTGGTTTCCTACTACGCTACTCAGAGAGACCCGATACCCGGGAATGCCAGCTGGTTGCAGCTGGTGGAATAACAGCTACCTACCAAGGGGATGATCCACAAGTTGTTTGAGGGCAATCACCACTGGAGGTATGCCACTGAGTCAAGAAAGTCGAAATTCCCTTGGGCTCCCCTTGGAATGGCAACTCCAGTAGGCATTCAAAAGACCCTACACATCATCTTCACTCCTTGCGGTCATCCATTTTGACTTCTCCACCTTCAACATCAAACCATTTCATGACAGAGCCAAACGCAACCACCCTCCACAGATGACCACATCGGAGCGCTGAACAGGTTCCCGAACATGCAGATTTTCATCTCGCCACGGGCAAGGTTTCACGTTGCAAAAGACTTCGGACACGGCGGCATCGTCATCTTGGCAAAGAAGCCGGACTCAGTCCGAGCATGTTTATGAGG